GAGTAGCTGGGATTACAGGCATGCGCCACCATGCCCGGCTAATTTTGTATTTTTAGTAGAAATGGGGTTTCTCCATGTTGGTCAGGCTGGTCTTGAACTCCCGACCTCAGGTGATCCGAACACTTCAGCCTCCCAAAGTGCTGGGATTATAGGTGTGAGTCACCGTGCCTGGCCTGCATAACTCTTGATGATCCCCATTATCATGGAAAATTTGTGCATTAAGGAAAGTGGTGCATTGATGGAAGGAAGCAAATACATTTTTAACTATATGACTGAATGACACCATGTCTCTGATTAGTTTGTAATATCAAGTACTTACCTCATTCAGCATTTTTCTTTCTTTAATAGACTGGGTCACCCCTAAGGAGATCATAGAAAAGACAGGTTACACACAGCAGAAGAACGTGCTATTTTCATGGAGATGGAGAGGTCAGCGATTCACAAAAGAGCACAGGAAGAATGACAGAGGAGAGGTCCCTTCCCTCTAAAGCCACAGCCCTTTAATAAGGCTTGTAGCAGCAGTTTCTTTCTGGAGACACAGTTGATGTTTAATTTAAACATTATAAGTTTGCCTGCTGCACATGGATTCCTGCCAACTATTAAATAAATCCCTAGTTCATATGCTAACATTGCTAGATTAGGTCCTATTAGTTATAAAAGAGACCCATTTTCCCAGCATCACCAGTTTATCTGAACAAAGTGATACGCATTAAAGATAAAGGTAGTTTAGTGTTACAATTAAAGACCTTTCAGTAACTCAGACTCAGCATCAGCAAAAACCTTAGGTGTTAAATGTTAGGTGTAAAAATGCAATTCTGAGGTGTTAAAGGGAGGAGGGGAGAAATCGTATTATACTTACAGAAATAGCTAACTACCCATTTTCCTCCCGCAATTCCCAGAAAATATTTCAGCGTCCGTTCACACACAAACTCAGCATCTGCAGAATGAAAGACATTCAAAGGATTAGAAGTTGAAAACAAAATCAGGAATTGCTGTCCTAAGAAGCTAAAGAGCCTCAGTTTCTTACACTCCCAAGATCAATCTAGATTTATGATTCCAAAACCCCTGGTGACAGAATCAGAGGCTGAAAACACCATTAATTATAACCAGCAGGTGTGGATCTTTGGAAGTCTAGGGAAGGCTGATATAAAGTTAAGACCAGAGGAACATCTGTCCACTCCCTCTCCCCAACACCCATCTTCTAGATGCCAAGGCTAGCTATAGAACTCCATTATAGTGTTCAAGGAATTAGCAATTATCCATGTCAATAGTTTTGATTAATGTGGATGGAGAACATCTATATTACTAGATGGCAATATATGAAAGGAGAAGAAAACAGTATTGTTGAAAACCTAAATCTGAAATGTCAATGTAATGACAAATTTTCACCCCTAGAATGTCTACCTGGGGCGGGCGCGGTGGCTCACGCCTGTAATCCCAGCACTTTGGGAGGCCGAGACGGGTGGATCACGAGGTCAGGAGATCAAGACCATCCTGGCTAACATGGTGAAACCCTGTCTCTACTGAAAATACAAAAAAAATTAGCCGGGTGCCTGTAGTCCCAGCTACATGGGAGGCTGAGGCAGGAGAATGGCGTGAACCTGGCAGGTGGAGCTTGCAGTGAGTGGAGATCGCGCCACTGCACTCCAGCATGGGCGACAGAGAGAGACTCCGTCTCAAAAAAAAAAAAAAAAAAAAAAAAAGAATGTCTACCTGGGGAGTTCTAACCCTCTAATATTCTCCTGAGAGGGATAGGAGAATACAGTGCAGAGCTTCTATATAAGTATTTCAGAAAGCAGTAGCTAAAGAATCACTTGTTTATTTCCCAGTGTTTTAAAGGCCCTTCTGAAGAACTAAGCAAACTAAGGAAAGACCATTTAGTTTTAAACAGGAGAAATGTATTTAACTAAATCCTAAACAAAGCAGGCTATCTGCAAGCAGTAGCAGCAGCCATGCTCCCTCACAGAATTCCTTATAATTTTTGAAGTTTTTTGTTTAACTGCTACAAAAGCTGATTTAATAATATGTATTAAACTTGAACATTTTAGTTCAGTTTTAGTTCAAAAGTAGCAAATGTATTAGGTTTGAGTTTAAAGACTGAACTACTTTAGATTTGATTTGCATTTTTTTTTTTTTTTTGAGACGGAGTCTTGCTCTGTTGCCCAGGCTGGAGTGCGGTGGTGTCATCTCGCCTTACTACAAGCTACGCCTCCCAGGTTCATGCCATTCTCCTGCCTCAACCTCCCAAGTAGCTGGGACTACAGGCATCTGCCACCACGCCCGGCTAATTTTTTGTATTTTTAGTAGAGATGGGGTTTCACTGTATTAGCCAGAATGGTCTCGATCTCCTGACCTCGTGATCCGCCGGCCTCGGCCTCCCAAAGTGCTGGGATTACAGGTGTGAGCCACCACACCTGGCCTTAATTTGCATTGTCAAATTTTTTTACCTTTCATTAGCTTTGATGCAAACCTATAGCTTAAGGTATATTAAACTTTAATGACATTTTTCTCTAAAACAGTAGTTTGTAATAACTTTTTCTGGCACCTGGCTCCAATGAGCACTATCCTCTGACCCTGTGGTATAATTTTCATGAGTAAGTAGAAACCTAAGATCATAGAAGTTCTATGGCAATGTATCCAAGGGGTTTACATCCTCTCCTCAAGTGCCTGTATCTCTCCGAAAAGAATCATCATGGGCTGGGCGCGATGGCTCATGCCTGTAATCCCAGTACTTTGGGAGGCCGAGGCAGGTGGATCACCTGAGGTCAGGAGTTCAAGACCAGCCTGACCAACATGGAAAAACCCTGTCTCTACTAAAAATACAAAATTAGGTGTGGTGGTACATGCCTGTAATCCCAGCTACTCAGGAGGCTGAGGCAGGAGACGTGCTTGAACCCAGGAAGGGGAGGTTGCAGCGAGCCAAGATCGTGCCATTGCACTCTGGCAGACTGGGAAACAAGAGTGAAACTCCACTTCAAAAAAAAAAAAAAAAAAAAATCATCATCGAATGGACTGGAACACATCCAGAGAACCAACTTTGTTAGAAACATTTTAGACTTGAGCCACACAATCTGCATCTTCTGCGTCCTCCATGCACTCGTCTGCTTTCTGGAGCCCCATGAGTGAGTCTTACTCTTGTTCCAGATAACAGTTCTCTTCCGGGTAGTGGTTCTTCAGATACTTGAAGACAGTGTCTTATTTCCTTAAATCTTCTCATTTCTTCTTCAAAAGACATTATTTCGAGTTACTTTTCTGCATCTTTACCATTTAACTCTGAATAAACACTCCCCAGTTTGTCAGTGACCATGTTAAAAACCAAGCACGGTGCTTAAAACAGACATCAGCTTTCAGGCAGTCACTCCAATGCAGAATACTGTGGGGCTCGGGATCTGTACTTCACTTGCTCCAGACCCTATGCTTGTGTTATTACGGCCCAGTTTCAAAGAAGTTTTTTTAGCAGCCCTGAAATGTTTACTCAGATTTAGTTTTTAAGTCAACTAAAAACTCCCAGAGGTCTCCTGTATCACACAAGTTATAATTAAAATCTTAAAAAAGAAAGGTATAGAACAAATGATCTGTCCCCTTCCTTTTTTGGTTTTTCATATGTTAAGACTATCTCGGAGCTGTTACCAGACTTTTTTCCTGAAAAACTCTCAACATACTCAAACTAGGTGTTACATGAAGCTGGGGTCTCCAGGTTTTTCCTCAAAAACCTGCCTCCAGGTTTTTGTTGTTGTTGAGACGGAGTCTCACTCTGTCGCCAGGCTGGAGGGCAGCGGCACAATCTCAGCTCACTGCAACCTCAGCCTCCAGGGTTCAAGCAATTCTTCTGCGTCAGCCTCCCAAGTAGCTGGGATTACAGGCGCATACCACCACGCCCGGCTAATTTTTGTATTTTTAGTAGAGA